TATATATGTGATAGATGCATACGATAGATAAATAAAAATGCGCACGTATATAATTTTTAGTGATGCACACATACAAGCATCATACTACTGCGTCTTAGAATGTATACCGAAATCTATCTACCTAAATATACTTTGAATACAAAATATTTGGTAAATCTAAATACATATATATATATATATATGCCCGTAGTCTTCATTCTGTCCCTAATAAACGCTGCCCCGTACTCAGCTACAGAAAAGCGTCGCGAATCTGAGGGGAAATCCAAGTTTAGATTTGACGACATTTCAGCCCAAAAACCTGGTAAAATAGACAAAGGCAAAACTAAATCGAGAAAAGATGGTAAATCTGCATATCCATATACTTATAGTGGGTCGCATTCCTCTGAAAGACTTATCACTGCGTCGCTGACACCCCCTGAAGACAATAACACACCACGTATGTATTCGGGTTTTTCATGTCCGTAGTTTCCCCTTGCATTGAGACGAGGCTATACTCAAATATGACGGATTGTAGGTTATCGTGCTTAGTGGGGTTTGACTGCATGTGTCCCGAGTGTCGGCTTTTCTCAAAACGGGTCAGAACTCGAGATCAGTTTAGCCCCGGCGCGTAATGTTTTCGTAACAACGAGAGTCCATTAACGTATGTGAAAGTGTGGCGTGTTATGTGCAAAGTATTTTGATGGGTAATATTAGATGCCGAGATCCTGGAGCCAACCGATGTTATGGGTGTAACTTTATTGCTAAGGATTTTACTATGAGAACTGTCGGTATGAAGTATAGAACTGTGTGGTACCGAAAAGTGTGTGAAATTCTGAATCCTTAATTTCTTTTTTCCTCGGCACTCGAGGTTGATAGTCAAATATTTGCAAGGTTGAGTGCTTGAACTGTGTGGTGACTCATTGACTGTCACATATAAGTGTTAAGTGAGTGCGTATACGTATATATACATGCACGTAGGTATAGCTTACTTAGTATTCACATACGTACATTTGGTCGTGCAAATATAGGTACGTGCACATGTTGATCTATATTGCCCTGTCGCGTTCTGCAAACATTAACCACAGGTACACGCTCACAATCACCAAGTCCACCCCGCTCCCCCTCACTTAAAAGTATATTAAAAACGACTAGCGCGAAGGGCAAAGATCAATTTCACAAATCTGCGAGCTGCACCTCTCATGATCCGGTATGTATGATACCCAATTTCAGCATGCTATTGAGGTCCCTACAAGTAAAAGCCGCTAGAATTCAGCTATCAAGTATCAGTATACATGTAAATTGGGCGACGGTCTACGTAGTGCGCTATTATTGTTCAGTGAATGATGTGTACAGAGCACCTGAAATCAGAAACCAAGAAGTACACGCAAACGTAAACGAATGCACAATCGAAGTCGATAGCAATAGACAGTCCCGGGCGCGCAATTGTGACCAATATAAGGGGGGTTTGTGGTTAATCCGCTCGTGTCTGATTTAGCCCATTCTGTTCTTGAAATATATATACATGTATTCCGATGTATACAAAATAGACATGTTTCGTCAACCCCTATGTCACCAGGCATAAAAGACTGTGTCAGATAATATTCAAGACAAATCGCAGAGGCAGACCTGTCGCCAATGTTAGATGCGCAATCGAGGGGGCCTTATGGTGAATTCGCCCGGGTCTGATTGGACACAATCTGTTCATCTAATACTTATAAATCTGTTTATATGTATCTAAATTAAACCCTCGTCACCCCAATACCAACAGGTAAAAAGGAGCGCATCAGACAATGTCATCGACAGTCCCAGGCGCGCGTCTGTGCACAATGTTAGGGGTTTGGCGGTGTATCCACCCGGGTCTGATATGACCGTGAGCTTCGACGCGAATCCCATGATGCGTCAGTATGGCCCGCGATCCCGCACGACTGAGATGTCTTCGCCCAGGGAGGCCACCAGTGCAAAACAAAGGTAGCTGGGTCATATATTCTTTTAATATGCCATA